TGTTCATTCTTTTCTACTCCAGTTCCATTGGCATAACATAAAGCAGTTGAATGGTATGAAAAAGCAGCTGAACAAGGAGATACCAGTGCTCAATTTAATCTTGGTACATGTTATAGATATGGAACTGGAATAGAAAGGGATGAACAAAAAGCAGTTGAATGGTATAAAAAAGCTGCTGAACAAGGAGTTGCCAGTGCTCAATATAATCTTGCTGATTGTTACTATCTTGAAATTGGAGTAAAAAAGGATGAACAAAAAGCAGTTGAATGGTATGAAAAAGCAGCTGAACAAGGAAATGCTGAGGCTCAAAATAATCTTGGTATATGTTATAAAAATGGAACTGGAGTAGAAAAGAATGAACAAAAAGCAGTTGAATGGTTTGAAAAAGCAGCTGAACAAGGAACTGCCAGTGCTCAATATAGTCTTGCTTTATGTTATAATAATGGAACTGGAGTAGAAAAAAATGAACAAAAAGCAGTTGAATGGTATGAAAAAGCAGCTGAACAAGGATATGCCAGTGCTCAATTTACTCTTGGTGTATGTTATGAATATGGAATTGGAGTAGAAAAGGATGAACAAAAAGCAACTGAGTTATATCAGAGTGCAGTAAAACAAGCACATATATCAATACAAGTTGAAAATGGTTTGCATTATAGCAGAATGACAGGAGGTAGAATTGACATTAAGCATGTAATTGACTTGTGTCTATCAGGAGCTAAAAAAGGAAATCCTTATGCACAATATTTACTTGGTCTGTATTATGAAAATGGGGTTGGGGTAGAAGCAAATATTAAAAAGGCACTTGAATTTTATGAAAAAGCAGCTGATCAAGGATATAGTAAAGCAAGAAGTAAAGTGTATACTTTTTATGAAAATGGGTCAGAAGTAAAGGAAAAAATAAGAGAAAAGATTGAGTTGTATAAAGGTGATAAAAAGTAAGGTTGTTACAGAGTTTTTGATATTGACACAAATTACAATGGTTGCAAATTGGATAACAATTGCATTTCAAATATGAAATTTTTATACTTGTGTTAAAATGAATAATTTGGAAAATTTTAATATTTATATTGGGTATTAACAGCAGGTTTATTAAACAATTATAGTAATAAAGATATATCTGTTACAATAAACTACCCCAAGAGAGCCAGAATCAGTTACAGTTAAGAACTGAGATGCAATTACATTGCCTAATAAGATGTTCATGTCCTAATCGAGATACGTTTAAGGAGTAAGTCAATATATTAATATAAAAAAATATATTGCTTAATTGATTTTGTATAATAAAGTCTTGTTGGAAGGCAGATACCTTGGCATTTTGAGCGTCAACCCCCGTTTCCAAGTGGATTGAAAGTATGTTTATTATCAAGCAATTAACGAGATCGAATCTCTACTCTTATTGGTCGAAATCTAAATCCTTTGTTTTTCATCGGACCTATTGCATGTTAAAAATAACAAAACAAAACCACATATTCCGCTTGTATTTCTAACTTATTGGAAGATAGAGTTTGTGAAATACCTACTGAGAAACAAGAGTTAACCCGTAAACATTAATGGAATTCGTAAATTAGTCTAAGATGTAGAAAGGTATAGACGGCATAATACTACGTCGATAAGCTAGTCACATGGTAAAATTTTCCTCCGCAGTAATCAAACAACACTCCTGACGATCAATTATTATTAATTAGATGTTACTCGGAGCAAACGCGAGTAATGCGATTTTGGTGACAGCGTGGGAAAGAGAAAATACGCGCTCTGTGGCGTAGAAAATCTAGTAAAAGCAAATGTATATAAGGAGCTGTCCCGACCGTCAAAAATTCTCATGTTGAAATTGTTGATGTTATGAAATAAATAATATTGATACTAAAGCATTCGAATATAATAAACGATCGATCTGATCTTTATCCTTTAATTATTACGAAACTTTTTACTTTTATTATTTCTATCGTCGTAAAAACTAAGCTTTTTGGCTTAACTATCGGCAGTAAATCGGTAACAACCCGTAGCTGTATTTAAACGTTAGTTGTCAGCGCAATAGATCGTAGTACTCTGTCTTACACAATATTCAGTCATTAAGTCGGTATGAGAAGGTTTTGGTTTTTTGCAATACTTTTCACATGTCTCATGCTTCTGAGCAAATCAGGTTTTTTGTTGATTAAAAATATGTTCACTTACACTTTGTGTTTACGGTTTTGTAACATCATGTGAAGAATTGTGTTGGTATAATCTTATAATACCTGATATTGTGTAACAGATAAAGCTTTGCTTTGGTTATTATTATTATTATGTCAGTATATCGAGCTTAAATTCTTATTATTATATGAATGTGACAAAATAATATCAGTTTTCAGAATTGCGCAATGTTATATGAAATATCATAATCAGTTTTCTGAGTGAATTTTATTGTACGTGTTTTGGAAATTAGAAAAATTATCAGTTTTGGCATTTATCGGTTTTCTGAGTATCATATATCAGTTTTTTTGACTGTAGTTCAGAAATAAATCTGTCAGCACTTTACGTTAATCAAGGGGTATTTCACGTGTCTATGAAATAGACCCAAACAAATGACTATAATATATAATCCATCAACAAATTCTATTATGAGAGTGGAGGACAAAGATGATAGCACGACGGGAATGTATAATGTGTTGGAAAAGACAATTTGACAGGAAGATATATATGAACAATGTATCCTCGACTTTGCTATGCAAGCGGTAGTAGAGTAAGTTGAACAGAAACCCCAATTGAGCTGTATCAAAAAATATCTGAACAAGGAAATGGAATGACACGCCAGAGCATACCGTCCTTTATCGCATTGGCTGGAATACGTCATTGAAATTGGTTGAAACATTTATATTATCTTGACAATTATAGTATAATGATTAATTTTCCGAAAAAAATTTGATATTATGCTCAACACATTATACCCTATAAATAGTATAGCGATACTGATATATTAATATGTATACACTTGTGGCTCGACTATCATTATGCCGCGTGGTGTTTTACTTTTAAAATTTTGCACAAGGCATGTCAGAAATTCTTTCTTCTTGAGGAAGCGCTGCCAACTTTCGGCAGCAATGATGACTCGGCAGCTGATAATGCGTTGCTTTCGCGAGTAACTCGCTCGTATGTCTTTTCGAAATAGTGTAAAACAATTTTACGGGCGCTGGACGCTCTTTGACTTTTTTTTCAGCCGTATCTCGTAGTTCTTTAGGGATAAACTTGTCGGTCGATTGGCTGATCGTATCCAAACCGTGTTCTAGCATGGTCAACATGGACAATATGCCTGCAGTCATCATATGCTGGCACGTTCTTTGGAAATGTGAAGGCTTACGCTCTCCATGTTCCTCTTTATACTCATTTTACATCGCCCATCCGACGATACGCTGATGTCATTGTTTACCGAATGTTGGAAACTCTCTTACTGGCGGTAAGTCGTCAATTGGCTCTTTTTTTTTACTTGTTCTGTAATTTATATTCACAGAGTATATGTATATTTGTATATTTATAACTAGTAATCTCAACGTTGGTTTCCAAATACTTGCAATGCGAATCAGTCTTGTATACGTTATCCCTGATTATTATTAAACTTCGAATATTACGTCTATTTCTTTCAATAGAATTAGTTTGGCGAATAATTCTGCACCTTATTAAATATAAACCTGATTACAAAGATTGCAGCATAGTTGAAAGCATATACCACTGGTACGAGAAACATTACCGGATAGAAAAATCTACCAGGAAATGAACGAAACAATACGCGGATTTTGTTCGAATATATCAATTATCCTAAATGCAAAAAATTGCAACAAACAATTAATTAAATAATTATGCTGAACATGTCGTTTGCGAGGAGACTACGATTGGTCTATCGTGTTGTGCAATGTATAGATTGCATGTACCACTGAGCGGAGATTACCAAGTGTCTTGGAAATAAAGTCTTACACTATTACTATTGAGATTACCGAGTGCGTCAGTTTGATCTGCGTACTAATACACAAATATATCGATTACCGTCGAATTCTGCAATGCCACAAGTGTAACACACTTTCAATATTTAGAGCGACAAAGACGACAAGCAGAATGATTTCTTTACTGCAAAATGACCTACTACTACCACACAGATCCAGTAACAATTTTTGTCAACGACGATAAGGTGATAGCAGCGGTAAGTCAGTAGCGAGTTTATCGATTTTTAACAAAAATATCCATTAATTTATATTAAATTTGTTAGTTTGCTGTTATCTGCGCAGGGCTCACGCTCTTTTATATTATAAGGAATCAGGACGTTGGCTTATCTATCTATAAACTCCTAATTAATGGAATGGCTCTAACTTTTTCCATATTAGACATCAAGAGCAAAACAGTGGACTATATATATAATGTTCTCGATGAGGATGTTCAGATAATAACTTACGGATTGACGCCAACAATGCTATTGACGTTGACGTTATATACGCTAAAGCGTACACGATTTAATGATGGCGATGCTATTTTTGGCACAATTTTGCTGATTATTACTTGGTTGTCTGTAGTAAGTTTACGTTATTAATGTACTCGGCGTCATATGTCTGTTACATTTACTAATATTTAACTTCGTAGATTGGTCGTTTGGTAATCAGATTGACTCCGGCTGGATTGAATCTGTTAATTTTAACATAATCATTATTGCACAGTTTATAATTAATGCGATAGTAGTTATTTTTGTTGCAATTCGATTGATACATCGTCATAATATGACTCCACAAAAAACGTTATTATTTGTATTGAATCTGACTAGACTTTTGTTCATATTTGTCTGGTTGGTGTTAGACGGACCAGCATACATTATTTCTTTTTACTATCACAACTTTCCAATTACGTTCGTTAATTTAGATATAGCAGATACCATAGTTATTATCATAATTCTGGTTTTAACGTCTGTCAATATCGAATATCCTCAGACAGTCAATGCGGTAGGAGGGTATATTACCCCTGTCAATACAGTAGGGAATGTTCCCCTTGTTAATACGGGATCAGTTCCCCCTGTTAATATAGTGGGAAATCCCAATAACGTAGGCATGGGACAAGTCCCTGCAGGAGTTTGTTGATCATCATGTCAGTTTATAGAACAGTTGTGCTGAGCCCGACCGACTATGTCGACCGGGCGAAGTACGACAAGCGTAATAATAGTCTAACTTTGCTCGAAAGATAACGGAGGATTATAGAGTTAATGAAATAAGAATATAAAAATTTGTTAAATTAACTTTTACAAATGCAGAATCAAGATACATTTGTATGGTATGAATATAGTTTTATGTGTTAGGAATTGTTTAGCTAACTTTCGCAAACGGCTATTACGCTTGCATTAATGGTACATAAATGCAATGCCTTATGATTACCTAATATCCCATTAATTCTAGACAGTCACATGTTTTCCGCAGGCCAAGATCACGTCTCTATCAGTCGCTCTCCAACGTGGAACGTGGGACACAAGGATGCAACGATGACTGATCCAAGCGCATTTTGAAGAGAAAATTGAGTACACGATGCTGGTTGGCTTGCTGCATAAAAGATAGAGTAGCGAAATACCCATCTATTATTCCATTTGGACACAAATGCTGCTTGAACAGATAGTGCCTATTTGTCAAAATCGATAAGCATTCCGATTGTCCTTTTCTATCAAAGGATTATTTAAGAACATTACTTTCGCTTCCTGTTGTATAAGTAATGAAGACGATGCAAGTTGAAGTGAATGTAGATAGTGAGGCGAGACCATTGAGATTTCATCAGTAATAAGCATTTTTAAAAAAACTTCGATGATGACAGTGTAAAAGCTTAAGATGTAATCGTTTAACGAAACTAATGAAGATGCTTATTGACGTATTTGTTCAATTTTTTTATTTGACCTTCAAACTTCAGTATGTGATATGAAAGTAGACCGGATGAAGTTAGGAATAATACGTAGCATAAAGTTTGAGTAAAGAAAAAACTTACCAATTCTGATACAGTTGTCATGAGAAATTATAATTGGTTCGCTACGACTATAGTCGAACCCCGTTATAATGAAGAGCGGAAACATAGAAATTTGGTTTAATTAGTAAATTTTGTATAACGGGGTTAAATTGCCAGAATTGTGCTTATTTAACTTTATCTAATATAATAATAAGTATCAGATAATGGTATTAGTATATCAGTCATTACCAAACTCATTCAATAATTTTCAAATTTGTAACTCCAACTCTTATTACGCACTTTGGTGCTTTTCGATTATTATATTTTTATTAAAAATTTCCTGGTAAGGAATTAGTTTGTCTTCCTGTACTAGTACATTTCGAGAGTATGATGGGGAACTGTTTTTTGTAATTGGCTTCACGGATAAGGACAATTATTTTTTCATATCGTTTGGCCAAATCACCAATGATGTTCAATAAAATTTAATTCACAGTGAAAGTGTACAAACGTGGCCTGAGTCCAAACTAATGCCAACCTTTGAGCCAAAAAATCTAGTCGTAAAGATATAATTTTTCTTTATATCGAAAAACTTTTTCTAATTTATTTATTAACCATAACTTTTACTCTCTTCCTAAGTTTGATCGTAAAGGAAAATAACTTCATGTGCTTATTGTTATTTTTTTTGACGTAAAATTTATTGGTTTAATTTAAGAATAGGGAATTGTTGCAGAGAACCCATAAACAAGTCAATTTAGACTGGTGTGTATTAACCATGCAGAATTCTACGCTTGCCATAAATATTCGTTCATATGAGCAATGTAGACATCAATCGCGAAATAACGAGTCGGGATCAAAATCATCAGCGAAATTCCATGTCCATTAGATAGTGCAAGTACATGATAAGAAAGATCTTTCGACCAAGATATGGTACGGTCACTCAATTGGACTCATACCCACCTTATTATTATGTATTAGATAGTACAAAGTGACGGGATAATGACATGTAAATCGAAGTTAATGTTAGCTTAGCTCTGTTTTAAATTAAAAATTAAAATCTCCTTCGACTCAAGAGTTATTAATAATTCGCTTTACCTTCTATTTAGTAGCTTTGGTATCACGTGATATAACATTCTTGTTGAAGATCTTCCAGCTGGGAATTTAGAATTTGAACTTTACTGGTTTCTTGGTGACATCACTAACAATATTACCAGCTGTTGACTATGCCCCTCCGTTTCGTAACATGTACGCTTACGTCCACAATTACTAGACGCATCTTGTCGATGAATAGAAGAAATTGAAATGGATAATAGCAGAAGTAATCGAGGACAAGAGACGAGTAGTAATACGTATCACGATTTTTCGGTCGGATTAGTATGAGAGTGCGTCGAATGTGCAGATGGTACAATTGGACTTAAGAAAGCCATTAATGTCGAGGCAACGAATGTTTTGGAAGAAGAGTCTTGTCGGACATACGCGTACCAATCGGCTGGTATTATGGGGAAAATAAAGACTTTGATAAGTTATATGAGAGATAATGGGTCATGGAAGGATGTTTTGTTTAACATAGAATTGAGCTCTGCACAATGATAGCGATGATGCAGGAAGTGTAGGAAACCGTGAAGAATAAGAGGCACACTGAGAAACGATGATTTTTTAACACATTGTTGTCGGCCAGCGTAGTGCTGCACGAAGTCACTAGAAAGGGGAGGGGTTGATCGAAATTTCGTTGCTGTATTGAAATGAGAACTTTGCTGAGGCGGTCGTGGGATGGAAAGTCAACAGATTTACGGAAGGATACTCGGATAAGATGAAACGGAGCTGTTGTTGAATGTGGAATGTTTAGTGCGGAATAGCTCTGCCGTCTGACATTACTGCACCCATGTTAGGGATATTTGAATACGGTGAATAATAAGATAATGGCGCATGGTGAGAGGATTTATATTCATTGAATCTCATTTTGACGAGTGAAAAATGGTGAGGTGAAATCTTAGGTAATACCCTCTCTTATTATATGCTATTAAGGAATCTTTTCATTCATTAATATTAAGACGGAAAAAGTCTTCAGACAGGATTCGTCAGATTACAAGGGTTTTGGGCATAAAGTTATTTCAGTGTCAGTATCTGTCGAATGACCCATTTTCCTGTCAGATTCACGTACGGTATTGGAGAGATGAAATAGTCAATCCGTGGGTATAGAATATCACTGGATATGGAACTTTTATGCGTCAGACAACGTTTCGTTTCAGGTTCATGACGAGAACGCAGCGCCGATGTTTGAGCAGTATGGTGTGTGAGTTTTACGTATTGGGATCCTTGAGGGAGTTGTTAAGCGTTGGAGGGGGCTTGTATCTGGGATTAAGTATATCATTTGAATTGACAATTAATATTGATCACGACGCATTTGTCATAAAAATGATATTTATGAGATAACCTATGTGACCAGCCTTGTCTGATCACGTATATTGTAATCAAGATGATACATTTTTATGCGTTTGAGACTTGTCGTTACAGCGACATAGTACTGTAGCGTAGTCATTAGATATCGATCCAACATCATCAATAGCTGTATTAAGTATGTGTTAATATGGGCTGCAATTATAACAATTTTGGCGCATTTTAGAAGAATGATCGCGTCTTGTCCCGTAATTATTTCCGTAGCAAATGCAATAATTAATCTTTATTCCAAAACACGGTATAATCATATAATACCCTAATTGTACCCATCAGTTTGAGAACGGATTAATTATCGAGAGTTAGTTATAATGTACATTGAGGTCGCAAGTAGTTTTAAAATCAGTAATTGTCATTTTCCATCTGGTTAAAAGTAGGAGAGCTACACTTTGCTCAAACTCTACTAAGTTCCTAGAGTCGATAATCGATCGCTCTCCTGTATTTGTATACTTTAACTTGGTACATAACATGTACAGCGTGTTAACAAAAAAAGGCGAAAAAGAAAGAGAAGCTTTCAACATCGTACATACATATGTTGTGCAATATAAATATTAATTCGCGTTTTTTTAACCATCAAAAAAGATTTAACCTTTGTTCTGTTCAATGCACTCGGATCGGACAATCGTTTACATTTTATTTGTTTCAATTATCTTTAAATATAAATTGGTGAAAATATATGCCCAATTGAATATTACAACAAAGCTTAGAAATTTTATCAATATCTATTTCAAATGTTAACAAATCTTTTTTTTTTCTCACAGCCAGTTTTTTGTCTCACACTGTATTTGTACATTAATACAGATGTAGGGTAACAATATCACTGATGTTTCGTGATAGCTCTTCTTCAGATGAATTATAGGTCCTGAATAAGTGTCTCTTGACTCCCATGCAAAAGCCTTCATTGGTTGTCTGACATATGATTATTAATTGTTCAGAAATTTTCAGCAATATAAATTAAAACTATCTAGGGGAGGATATAGATAATAATAACACCTTCTTTACTAGCTGTAAATAAGTTCGTCATATTTAGAGATCTGCTGGTTCGCACGGACTAACTGGAATATGGACTTTGTCCTTTCTCACAAAACGGAGGATCCCGTTTTCCTTGTAGAATAAGTCTACACATAAGTGCATGCCTATTATTATTGTTGTTATTTATATTATTATTTTTAAATTTAAAAAAAAATAAATGTCTTTTATCTTTTGAATGGTATAACCAACTCTACCTATTATTTCTTCACATGCAATGGCAAGTCGTCACATGTACGATGTGTGAATGTTTCCCTATACAATAGTCAGGTAAGTGCCTAAAATCAGTTTCTGCTCTTTTGAGTAGGTCTCAGATTCAATGAAATGTAAGTAAGACAAAAGAGTACCTTGGAAGTGAATCAAAAAAAAATCTGCTGGAAGCCGATAGCGGCAAAACGAAGAAAACCGTTCTCATGCTTAATTCAGTTTTCTACCGACAAATTCCCGATTCCGCTGACGTAAGTTTTTTCGTGCAATTTTATTTCTTTCAAATTGTTTCCCTAAACATTCGCACATTTTGAAGTCAATCCGGCAAATAGTGTTTGGTGATGGGCAAGGAATAGGAATTTTTGCCTTTGAATGCTTACCTATCCAGAAAATAAATAGTGGAATCGTTCTTTGATTTGGGCGGACGTTTGATGTTTTCGCGTCTAAGACATTATTTAAAAACGGGGTCTTGGATAAGGGTTCAATTGTTACGGAGGAAGAGCTAAAAGCTGAAAGACCCAGAGCGACGAGGACAAACTCGGAGCGGATGATACCGTGAGAAATGAATTGAGCACGCGCTCTTTTCATTGTTAGTTTTCTTCTTTCAAAGTTTCAGGATTATCAACGTAGGCCATATCCCAATTTCATCATATTCTCTTCGAAAGAAGACCAATTTGCTATCTTTAAGGACACCTGGTAGACATTGCAAAAAAATGAATAACGTGGATCAAATAAGAGATAGCATAACACATCTTGTGAATCATACTATGAGCATAAAACTAACATATAAATATGACAAACTACCAATTCCAAGTTTCGATGTACAAGTGAAACCGATACCACTCAAAACCGATACTTACAGACGTCTGCAACCCGATAAACCGATATCTTTTTTGGCGATAGTCATAAACATCGATTGAGCCTTGCGCGATATTATAATGTACTACAAATCACGAACGTGACCCAATTCTTGCAATTTCATTGGTTCAACATGACTTAGCAAGGCCGAGCCACACTGTTGATATCTACGATGCCGTATGTTGGTCTAACGAAGCATGGAGTACCGTTACTGAAACGAAATTGTTGGACATTCTTCCTGATACCTCTTTTACCACTGATACGATAGTACGGCAGCAAAAATGCAACAACAGATAAGATCGATGAAACCACTGCCGGCCGCAGAGTTTTATGATAAAGTACCAATCGAACACCTACGATGATGATGACATTCTTGCGGCACAATAGTTCTTTAAAGTTGGTGCTAGAAAATGTGCTATTGCAGTTTATCAGTAATCCTCCGCAATTCGTTTACGTGTTCTGATTTTAATCATTGTGACTTCAGATAATAATAATATGCATTGTGACCTTCATGAGTTTAGCATTAAGTTGTATTCTTTGTAGCGTCATTTTCTATAAAAGGCAATCGCGCAAGATAAATTCTTTATCGAAATATTGTTAAAACGCTTATGAATTGGTAAACCGAAAATGTCTGATCATGTATGGTGTTACACCAAACTGTCACTTTACAAATACTGTACAAGCCATAATAATAATAAGAGAAATTACCTCTGAATCAAGCATGTATGAAGAGATTAACGTTAAATATCACGTAGCTACTGGCCGCTACATTCCCATCGACAATAGGTCAGCCTTGCCTTCGGAAAAAGACATTGAATTACGTAGACTTAGGTCTTTGAATGCTGAACTCAGAAAACACAATGCTATCTTGCGCGAACGAGTAGTGTCGCTCGAAAAGAAAGTAGACAAACTTGCGAAACAGAAAGAAGCGTTTAAGGAAGAAGCATCTAGGTATCAGTCGGCTCTCGGCGATGCAACTAGTCACATCTTCAAAGAAGATGATCCCAATAACCCAATATTTTTGAAACGCCATATACACGCATTAGAAAAGAAACTTGACAACATCGCTAGGACAAAAGGCGCAATGATAACCATTAATGCTTCCGAGGCAACAAAGTTAGTTAATAGATATTTGCATCCTTACAAAATACGAAGGGCTGACGTAGACAGGGTATTGATTAAAGCCGCTTTCAAACGAGTAATTACCGAGAAAATTTTGAAAAAGACAGCTGTCGCACACAAAAATGCTATGCTTCCCACATCGAACAAGGAAACGTCCGCGCTTGAATTTGACATAGCTCAGACAACCGAAGCTCTTTGTGCCATGATTACTCAATTCATTTATGATAACCAGATAAACGATAATATTGCAGATTTGATCCCAGATAAAATCCGGCAACAAACATACAGCCTGCTCGGAACTCATGCGTTTACCAATATGAACCAACCATTCATCCAAGAAACCTCAGCGGAAGTGTTAAACGTTCTCGCTAAGTACCGTACAAACAAGAAAGACACCCAAGAAAGGCTATTCTTACAGACAATGGATACGATCCGTACTTTGATTCGTGTACTGTATTTTCGTCCAAAGGTGTTTGGAAATTCGAGAGTTGAATTCGTCGAGTCTGGGATCGAGTTCGATGATGCTCTTATGAGAGGTGCTCAATTATACGAGGATGATACTGAGGAAAGCGTATTAGTGGCGCTATGCTCATTGCCTATGGTTTACAAGGAACAGAAGAAAGACGATGACATAATCTATGTTAAAGCAAAAGTGTCGCTGAGAGAGAAGAACGATGAAAGGTTTGAGCTGAAAACGGGCGATGAGGTGGAAGAGGTGGATAGTGATGAAGAAGAAATAGTAGTAGTACTAATGAACGGTAGTGATAACGATGATAAACGTGAAAGGAGGCTTAAAGTCAGGATTAGGGGATAGTTATGTTTATTAGCATGACAAAATTTATGCGACTAGTTGTTAAATGTACAGGGTGAATAAGAACAACATGCGTTTGCAGTGACATTTCTCAAAGAATGTCGCGCCAAATGTATCGTATGCTGGGGAGAGATACGTATTGCCCTGTGTTAGACAATTGATTGCTAAAATTTGGGTGGGATACCGCATCGGTTGGCTGCCTGATGCCCACAGATAACTGCTATCTGACTATGAAGTGCGAACCGTTGTAATTTATGAAGAATGTATTAGAATCAGTATATTGTAAATTAAAATAAATTAAAATGATATAATTGGAGAAACGCACGTGATAAAATTTTGATCTACTATTAAATACGACACGCTGACCGTTGATATGATAACGCAGATGATGGAAAGGCGCAATCAGGCAACACATACTTCATCGCTAAGCAATTTACTAAACGGACACTGAATTAAAGCAAAGGATTATACATTACGGGTTCTCAATCAATGCTACCGTTGTCAGCTTTATTGAGACCGATCAACATCGATTAACGTTCTTGAAGACCCTTCTTTCTAGAAGGTTAAACGGTATCGGGAAGAGTGACTTGCTGACGAAGACCACCAGCTTCTGTTCGCGATTATGAAGATTTTGATTTTGGATCGCCATAGACGTACAACTGTTTTCTTCAAAAAGATATTAAAAAAAAAAAGATGAGCCAGTGATAAAGAACAACGTCCCGATTCAAAAATTGGTTACTTGAACATTACGATATTGGATTAGCACTGGAAGTAGAGGAGTCGTTCTCTAACATTGTTGATGTGGTTGATAATAATAAAGTCTCTGAGGTTACTGTAAGATTCTGGGAGTTAAAGAATGTGTTCTATCGGTAGGTGAATTTAACACAATGCTTGCTTGAATTTGGTAGCAGTACTCATAATGGTGATGTTATTTTATTAATTTTACTCCTTGGCTATCACTTTCACTCCCAATGCGAAAAAAGTTGGTGGGAAAGAGACGCGTTGAAACAGAGTTTGAATATCAATAATAACGAACGTGCTGTTAACACCGGTTCGTAAACTGAAAGCGGGAAGAAAAGCGTGCGGTAATTAATGCGCTACAAACGGAACAAATCAAATTTGTAAAAGCAAAACGCAATAATTGTGTAGTTCTATTATTGATGTCAAATAGTTTATACCAAATCAAACATCGCGAAGGTGCAGACATTATGAACCCCGAGCCGAGATGTGGCTTATCACGAAGGTGAATATGGTAGTGAGAGTGCTAAACTCGACGACAAAGTCTCTTTGTCGCTCCAAGAATTATATCAGTAAATTTGGAGCTTATTTCCAAGAGCGTGTCCAATATATGGCATCTATCCGTTTATCACACCTTCACTCATTACCTTAAGTTCTTGTGCGCTTACTCAACATTATTACCCTCCTTCCCGGCATAGTAATCTTCGCGTGAAAAACCGTTCCCAATCCTCACAGACCAAAGAAATCTCTTTGTCTACTTGCAAATTGTACGATTAACCCCAACGTATTCTTTATACAAGCTGTTGGTACACAACTATGCTTAATGAAATAGCGTAGTCTTTGCGACATACAACTAGAGATACTACGCCGCCCTATTGATTTATTGTACATGGATCAATCGCGTTCCATCTAATTCCTGGCGTAGGATGTATTAATCACATTCGAAACTTGTGAAATTTATTATTCTATCGTCATATTTACTACATTAAATTCGAATTGTGTTCGATGAAGTTTATTATTATTTTTTGTCGTATTTATTATATTTTATTATTGGCTTAATATAAGTGTAAATTTATGATGGTCACCGTTTTATTTGAAACGATGCGCGTCCTCATCATAAAGGGGGGAGCGGGCGGATTCTATACATCTATCCCGCCTACTATCAGTGTTAGAAGTGGATGGATAGATGTATAACTTTTTAAAAAAATTGAAGCCCGCTCAGATTGCCTCTTGCTGGCAATCATATCGGATAATCTGTGCAAATAATAAATAATATTAGTGAAAGTTGTAGACTGTATCAAAACAATATTATTATTTGAAATCACACTTACAAATTTCCGATTCGAGAGAGACGTCCACCATCGCCGATGATGGACGTGCATTTCTTCTTGAGCGTTGCTCAAGCACGGAAACGCGGCGATGTGAGGGCGTCTAACAAAGTATACAGCATTTAGTCACCGAATATTCGTGTATAATAACTCATACTAGTCCACCATCAAAGCTTGATACTTACGCAACGCCCCCAGCCGTCATCGCTTCTCGATCATGGGTATTCCCGCTTTGTTCGTGGGAACCGAATCGACTACATAATAAATCAATGCGTGATAGTAAGCACAACTTGCCATCATCCAGCTCTACGTAAGGAAATAAGTGGCCGCACGGGAACATGAGAGACTACCTTCGTGTCCTCCGGTGTCCGTAAGGAAACGTGTTTCGGTCCCTCGATACTAGTTATTAATTCTCGACTAACTTTAGTGTCGAGGGCAACAGCAAAAGTAATTAAAAACCCCTTCTTTCTTAAGAAGGAGAAAAGTTAATATTTATAACTATCTCCGTATGCTTGTATTTATCAAAAACCAAGGGGAGAGTGGCCTGAAATCGGCTCACGCAAAAGAAAAAGTTTCGTTGCGGATTGAGGATGTAAACAATCGACGTGACTAGTTAATCACTTTGAAAATCATTTACTAAAAAAGATAACGCATTTATCCAGGGGTTGTCGAAGTTATCCTTTTTGGTAGTTTTGACAAAAATAAACCGGACCCATCCCAAAAATCAATGATTGAAACAAAGGAATATCTAATGTCGCGGCTGATCCCTTCACTCTCCAGCTTTAAAAATTTTTAATCAAATGATTCTTTAAGTGTGCTAGACAATTAACTGTCGGGGGTTTTGGATGGCAAATCACAATTAGGCTATTATGCTTATTAGCTGGCAGCAACAAAATTTACTATTGTAATCCAAGTTATAACAGCATGTTATATGTTATAATGAATTCTCCTTGACGCTGAACCAGCGACCACACTGGATATCCTCTGTCAGCAACACCCATTGCAGACATGATTGGGTCTCATTCTGCTTTGTCTTTGACCCAGCTTGCAAAACTAGCGTTCAGTCTGTCACTGTTATTGGTAATCTTTTATTCGTTGATTTGAAATATGAAGTAAGTAAAACACATGACATAATAATTTTTGTTACTATTATTGCAATTGAGAAGACACGCTACTTGTAAGCCTCCCCAAACAGAGCCGTCACGTGAATTGGCTTCTGAATCTTGTTATTATCGTGACTTTGGAAAAATCTTTTGCCACAGTCACCGATTAACGTATCTGCCATTAATATTAAGTAAATTGTTTAAAGAGTTAGAGTGAGCCATTGGAGTTTAATAAAAGAATGTGAAAGCCGAACCTAATAGACTCAGTAAGAGCATATGAAGCAGCGTTTAATAAATGCTGGTGTTGCTAACAATCTGAACCGTTAGGTACGGAGGCGCTTATGGCCAATTCGGGTGGGTGTTTCTTAAAAATTCCTGATAGCTGGCATTATTTCCCCATAAACAAGATTCTAGGTGGCAATTATGCCAGCAGAGCAAAGATTGCCCGATGGCATTCGGGGAGAGTGGCGCGCATATGCCAAGCAAATGTCGCTTTTTGGAGAATGTAAAAATATTAAAAGCCGTTTATTAAATAAATGGCTTGCCAAATTGTCCCGTTTGATATCTGAATAATTCTCCCGTTACGAAAGTGAAAAAAAGTGGAAAGCCAAGATGATGCAATTCCTTGAAGAGAAACAAAAAATAAAGAGGGAAGATGAAAAGGATGAGGAGGTCATGTCGCGTAGCTGAAATAGAAAGCTTTTCTCTCTCGTTCGGGTACTGTAACATGGCTGCTACCACTGACGTACCGTGACAATAATAATAACAATAAACAAGTTTGTTTTGATCACGGTTGTTTTTTCACGTTACAGGCCGAATTTGTTCTGCAGATCATAATAATCACACGACATTTATCCATAAAATTTACGGACACGTGATTATTATTATATTGTCTACATGTAAAATTTAAGTTTTTGGCATAACAATAAAATTAATTTTTGTGCACCCACAGTAAAAATTTTTGTTCAAAATGCTTTTGAAATAATAATGAGGATTGCGTGTCGATTGATCTAGTACATTTTCAGGGACTTCTCCTGTGCAAGAACTTTGACAGCGGAGACAACGAGAATGCTGAGAATTCCGTGTGAATGACATCGTGAATAGTAGCTGATGATGTGAAAACTGAGGAGGATACTTTATAATAGCATTGCTTGGGAGTATTGCGGGATGGTTGGATCGAACAAAATCGGCTTGCTGAAATTGCTAACGTTCATCCGGCCAAAGGAAGTCTATTGTTACAGAGTTATTTTACTTTAACAATTCTCCAACTCCACATCAGCGCGCTGAGCGCCTCGGGCTAGGAAAATTGGTTTAAGGTATATCTTTTACGCAGGCAAATAATCCAACGTCAACACATTCTCTTTCAAAATGCAAGCGATAGCCATGTCCGTTTTGCATTCTCCAAGTACTGACGCGAAGAATCTGAGGGCGAAATGGAGCGGGATCGCGACTTGAAGATTCTGACCAAAAGTCGTTGCGCTCGCATGATCCAAATGGATTCCGTTATAGGAGTTTCAACAGTCCATTAGTGACTGAACTACCGCCGGGGGACTAGGTTGACGCTGGACACAACAATAAGAGTATGATAATGTTAAGCTTTATCATCTAATCGAGCAGATTCGACCCTGCCATATCATATGGACGGATGGGGGCGATTCATACTTGCTTCAGCGGATCTTCACTGTTCTGTCTGAAGACATAACAAGCAAATAGTATACGATCGTTATACGTCGGCGAGGAAGATCAAGAAAGCTTGGCGCGCATTCTTGGGGACAGATTATCAAAATTCTTCTTCGCAACCGGAATGTTGCATAATGTATGATTCTACTATGTT